GTCACAGTCGATCTGAACTATTCCTAATTTCTTTCTCAAATTTTAGGAATCTGTCGATCTTCAATCCTTTGGTGAAAATGTCGGCCAATTGTACTTCACTTTAGCAATGCCTAACATCAAGTTCACCTCGATTTACCTTTTCTCTCAAGAAGTGAAACCTAGCTTCGATATGTTTACTTATTCAATGCAAAACTGGATTCTTCTCCAGATTTATGGATGACTTATTGTTGATTTGCAACACTAGAGGTTTCTTCACTTTGACCTCCATTTCTTCAAGTATAGATCTGATCCAAATTGCTTGACATGCAGCATAAGATCCTGCTATATATTCAACTTCACATGATGATAATGCCACCATAAGTTGCTTCTTCGAACACCATGAGATTGGGCCCCAAATACTTGAAAGAAATATCCAGTTGTGCTTCTTCGATCTTCCTTATCTCCACACCAATCAATATCTAAAAAGCAATTAACTATTGCTTCTTTGTCTTCAGAATCTAGTCAAAATAGTATTCCCCAGTTTATCGAACCCTTAAAATATCTCAGGATTCTTCTTGTAGCCTTCATATGTGAACTCTTGGTTCACTCATATATCTGCTTACTAATCTGACAGCAAAACCTATATCAGGTCAACTATTGCACACATATCTAAGAGATCCCACGATTTTTTGAACAAAGTTACATTGACTTTGCCTTCCTCTCCATTCTTCTCCAACTTCACATTTGGTTCGACAAGTGAGGATGCAGATTCGAATCATCAATTCTGAATCTCTTGAGTATCTCTTTGACATACTTTCTTTGATGTTAGCACCATACCTTGCTTTGACATTTGAAATTCCAATCCTAGGAAATAAGACAATTTTTCCAGTTCCGACATTTCAAATTCCTTAATCATCAACTCTTTGATTTTCGAAAAGTTCTCAAAACTGTTTCCAGTTTCTAGTAAGTCATTGACATATAAACAAATAATTGTTATATCTTGTTCTACAACCTGAACATAGACAGCATACTCATATTTGCATTTGACAAATACCAATTCGACTAAGTATGAGTCAATCTTCTTGTTCCATGCCCTAGGTGCCTGCTTGAGGCTATAGAGTGCTTTGTGCAACTTATATACTTTACTCGCTTCCTTATGAATCATACACCCTGTAGGTTGTGTGACATAGACATTTTAATCTAAAGGACATTTCAGAAATGCTGATTCCACACCTAAATGAAATGTCGACCAACCTTGATTGCATGCTAATACTACCACTAGTCGAACAGTCTCCAATCTTGCTACTAGAGCAAATACTTCAGAATATCGAGTCCTTCTCATTGAAGAAACCCTCGAGCTACTAATCTTGCTTTATATCTTGCTATCGAACCATCAACATCATGTTTCAACTTGAACACCCACTTCACTTCAGTAGTTTTTGTATATGCTGGAAATTCGACTAACTCCCATGTATTGTTTCTTTCGATTGCCTGTAACTCTTCGGCCATAGCTAACTTCCACTATTTAATCTTCAAATCTTCGTTATGGTCGATTGGTTTAGCACCTGCAAGTAAAGCAAAATGACCTAATTCTCCATCTGGTATGACTTCATCATCACCTATTACCTCATAATCATGAAGTCTTGTAGGAAGAACTCTATTTCTTTGAGGTCTTTGGCTTGTTTCAACCATAACCTCTTCAACTTCGATTGTTTCTGGAATGTCAGCAACTACTTCTACTCCAACTTTGACTTCATCAGTTTCTTCATCAAAATCGGAGCTCATCAATGGCTTGTTCATTGAATTACTATAATTCCAATCCCAGATAGAATTTTCATCAATCACAATATCTCGACTTAACACAATCTTCTCATTAATTGGATTGAATAGCTTGTATGCACCAGTCTTGTGATATCCTACCAGAATCATAAGTTCACTCTTGTCATCAAGCTTCCTTCTTCTCACATCAGGAACATGCTTGTAACACATAAAGCCAAACACTTTAAAATGACTCACTGATGGTCGTTTGTCACTCCATACTTCTTCAGGAACCTTGTTATTCAATATCTTGGTAGGAAACCTTTTCAGGATATAAACTGCAGCCGAAACAGCTTTACCCCATAAAGATTTTGGCAAATTCTTTTGCTTCGGCATGTATCGCACCATATCCAATATGATCTTGTTTTTTCTTTCTGCAATTCCATTATGTTGAGGCGTATAAAGAGAAGTTACCTCATGATCAACACCATGTTCTGCACAAAAAGTTTCATACATGTGTATTTTCCACCTCCATCTGTTCTCAAAACTTTGATCCTCTTCTCACTTTAGTTTTCGACAAGCATCTTGAATCTCTTAAAGATTTCAAATACTTCGTCTTTTCTCTTGATCACATAGATCCACAACTTTCAAATAAACTCATCGACAAACGAAACAAAATATCTATTTCCACCAATGGTATGTTCTTCAAATGGTCCACATACATTTGAGTGTACCACTTCAAGTATGCATGATAATCTCATTGGCATAGTCAAAACAAAAGGATTTCCAGATTGCTTTCCGACTAAATAACCTTCACAAAGTTTTTCGGGTATCTTAAGACTTGGGATACCAAATATTATATCTTGAGTAATCAACTGTTTGAGTGATCGAAAATTCAAATGTCTGAACCTCAAATGCCACAACCAACTATCCTTGTGGTCGACAATAGTTTTTAGACATTGTACTTCAGTCGAACTGATTATGGTCTTAAACGTCATGTTCTTCGATAGAGGAAATTTTAAGACCAAATTATTCTTATTGTCGAACAATTTTAAAACTCCGTCTTTCATGACAACTGATAAACCTTTTTCGACTAGTTGTCTAACACTTAGCAAGTTGCACTTCATTCCAGGTACATAGAGCACATCTTTGATCATAACTTTTCCTCTATTACTCATTTGAAAGACTATGTTGCCAGTACCTTCTGTTTGCAACGAATTATTATCAGCAAGTTTTACTTTGCTCTTCTTCGACTCGTCAAAATCTGCCAACCACTCTTTTTGACTAGTCATGTGGTTCGAGCAGCCTAAGTCCAGAAACCAGATCTTGGATTTGACGTGGTTATTTACAACTGAAGCCATAACCACCATACCACCTTCAGAATATTCTGAATCTTGGCGTGCAAGGTTCGCTCCTTCGTTCTTGCCTGTCGATCCCTTGTCTTTTATGTACCAATAATTCTTGGCTACGTGACCCCACTTTTCACAATTATAGCATTGCACACTTTTTTTTATCTTCTTTGTCTTTTCGATAATTTCCTCCTCCTCTTTTCGAGGATTCAGAAGTTCTGTCTTTGACCTGATGCTTATGAGGGTTCAACTAAGACTTTTTTACCTGAGTCTTATCCATATTGCCTTTGAACTTGTTGGAACAACCATTTCTTTTCCATGACTGGGCTTGCAGTGCCTGTGTCGAGTCCTGAACTTCTTTTCTTTTGACAATATGCATTTCATGCGCCTCCAACGAACCAACTAAATCTTCCACTTTTAGGGTTTCAAGTTTGTTGGATTCTTGAATAGCTACGATAACGTGATTAAAGTGAGAGGTTGATGTTCTCATTACCTTCTCAACAATCATCTTATCAGTTATGGTTTCACCACAATCCTTCATGAAATGGATGAGTTTCTGAACCTTCGACACATGTTCTGCAACTCTTTCGTCTTCTCCCATCGACAACAACTAATATTTTCGACGCAAGGGTTGTAACTTGAAAACCTTGACCTTCTCACCTCTTTCATAATACTTCACCAGAATATCCCATGCCTCCTTCGCCGTTTCAGCATCAGAAAACCTGTCGAAGTTAGCAGCGTTAACCGTCGTCTGAATGCAATACGCAACCTTGCAATCTTTCTTCTTGACTTCTTTGTGGGTCTTTTTCTATTCATCGGTTGCATTTTCCGTCAACGTAGGAACATCGTCGGTAACCACTTTTAAGGTTTCACGGAAGCCAAACAAGGATTGCATCTGTTTTTTCCATCGGATCCAATTTTTGCAAGCATTGGAAGAGAATTATGAATGCCCTTATCACTAGCCATCTTTGCAACGGTTGATTCACTTGCTCTGGAAACACGATCTCTGAGGTGAAGTTCTTGAAAACTCGATCAAGAACAATAACCGGAAACTCTGGATACCAATTTGTTAGTGTGTGAGACTCTTTTAGTGAGGAGAGAAAGAGAGATTAATAAAGAAAATAAGGATTCTATTATTCACTTAATGAATTGTACAAAATAAAGATACATACTATAACTATTTATATATAATTTTAATTAGACTTAAACTAACATAACTATTATATTTAAATATTAAATCAAATCTAATCAATTTTAATATTTCAACGGAATCAGACCACATTTTCAAAATTAAAACACTTCAATATTTCATGTGCAACTATCTTCATTTGACTCTAGTGAAATTTCATTATTCAGGCCTTTAAACATGTTGAAGGAGATAGAAACTCTAAAAATTAAAATAGCCTTGAAAACTAAAAATAACACTAATTATGAAATAAATAAATTTTCAAATATGACATTTATTTTGTAACGGAGGAAAATATTTTTAACAATTAAATATATTTTTTTCCAGATTTTTAGTTATCTAACCTATAACCTATTTAATATAATTACATTGTCTTTTTTTTTTAATTGAGATTCGTTAGTGTTGATAAATTATTATAAATATTTTTATAAATGAATTTTCAGTTGTCATTAAACAGAGAACTTGTATAAAGTAATTAAATGACCAAAAAAGGTAAAGAAAATCGTGTGGTACCTTAATTTCCGGCAACTTCCTCTCCTTAAGAAAACAACAACAACAGTTTCTTGTTTGGACTTGTCCCAAATTTGTCAAACCTCTGTGGTTCTACCACTGCTATCATTGTCCATGACAATCCTAACATGTTTCTCTTTGCACATCATTATATATCATCCATCACATTGAAATGAAGGTTGCATTTTGTTAGAGGAATCAATTTGAGCAATTTGAAGATGAGTCCTTCAAAAAAAGAAGAAGAAAGAGTTGAGAGAATAATTAGAGGTCTCTTAAAACTTCCTGAAAATAAAAGATGCATCAATTGCAATGCCTTGGTATATTATTAATTCATTTCTTACCAATTCTTTTATTATTTTAATAATTCATAACAGAAAAACACGTTTGAATTAATAGAGAAATCAACAGAATCACAATAAATCATGGTGATATTGCAAGAAATTATACTTTAAATGTTACAAAACACGATGTGACCGTGGTTTTGTAACATTTTCTTATGACGTTGTATTTGACATTTGATTGATTTTGTTAATTAGGGACCACAATATGCATGTACAACATTCTCAACATTTGTCTGCACAAATTGCAGTGGTTTACAGTAAGAAAACAAATCTTTTTAGGTTTATTTCCTTTGTTATCCTTGTTCAAATTCATTTCTATGAAATTACAGTCGAGAGTTTACACATCGAGTAAAATCGGTATCAATGGCAAAGTTCACTCCCGAAGAAGTCACTGCTCTTCAAGCTGGTGGCAATGAGGTGAGAGCATTATTATGATGCTTTTTATTTTTTATCATGCTACTAGATTCTAATTTGGTAATAAATGTCCAACTTGGATTCATGCGCAGAGAGCAAAGCAGATTTATTTCAAAGGATGGGATCCTATGCGACATTCGTATCCCGATTCTAGGTAACTTTTCTTCTTTAAATTACGGTCACGTCACAATCCCTGATATTGCATAAAATTGTGATGTGATATTGTAGTCACGTCGCAATAAGTCACATAGTTAAATTGCGACCGCGTCATTTGATCTAATTCGAATATTTTCTTCCAGTAATATGCACAGACTTAGAGATTTTATCAAGCATGTCTATGAGGACAGAAAATATACCGGCGAAATAAGTCAAGAAAATCTTCCCAAGATTAAATTGGTAACTTTTATATACATATTTACGCGTATTAAACTGAGTAATCTGTAATGAGCCAGGTTGGTCCATTTAAGGATCAAAACTTTCTCGGTGTGCTTTCTTCATTCACAAGATTCGAATCTATGACTGAAAATTTGTTTATTTTGTTGTTTATTTGAGTACAGAATAACAAGGAGGAGTCATATGAGAGTAAGAAGATTAATTCGTTTCGATTAGAGTTAGTAAGTCCTAAGTCAAGTCCCGGTCCAAGAAACAGTACACGTGAAAGAAGCGACGGCGCGAATTTAAGATATGTATATGATGAAAGCAGAAGTCCTAAGTATGTACGAAAGTATTCAAGATATGGAGGGTTGAGCAAAAGTCCTATGAAATTCGAGGTTGTTGATGATAGGTTTCGGGACGACGACGAGTACAGAAACCACAGGCAATCAAATATAGACTCAAAGCTAGGACAACTTTCATTTGATGGTCGTAAGAATGTGGACAGACTCCCACCACCAGTTCAAAGATCTTTGGGTGAAATCAGGACGAAGCATGATTCATCTTTACAAGTAAGTGAACTTTCTCAATCTTGTGATGCATGTCTTTTAGGATATATGTTGGAATTTTATGATGTAGTATCAATATGCGTCAATGTTTGATACTGACACATGTGGTTACGTTCAATTATTTTATTTTTCCAGCGTTGACATATTAGTGTGTGTCTATACTTGATAGATTTGAACTAAATCTTTGATGTATTTTAATCGTAAAAGGTAACAACTTCGGGTGGAGAAGGTTCTATTGAGAAAAAACCATCGGCGCAAATAAGTAATAAACCAAGAAGCTTCAATGATTCGAGTATGAAGTCTCAAGCTTGTGAAACTGCTATTGTCGCTGTTCAAGAAACACCGAGTGTGACACAGTCTCAAACTTCTGAAACTGCTATTGTCGCTGTACAAGAAACACCGAGTATGACACAGGAAGGTGAAAGTAATTGGGCTTCATTCGAAACTTCTACCGAGGAAAATGTTCCTAAAACTCCAAACACAAACACCATTAAATTTTACGCAACGGAACCAACACCTAAAGCAAATACTTCAAGTCAATTAGACCTTTTACTTCTTGAATTATCAGGTCCTCCGCCACAACCTGAGCTAAATGGAACAGAAAACTCCGTTGAAGTTTCACATGGAGATAAACCAAGAATAGAAGATCCCATTGAAGTTTCACAAGCACATGAACCACTAAGCATGCAAGATTCTCCTTCTGTTTCCGTTGGTTGTAGTTCAACAACACAACCTATAAAATCGCCAAACAATGTAGTTTCAAATAATGAGGTGAGACATACAACATGAAAACTTTACGTTTGTTCGGACTGATTTATTTTCTCTTATTTCCTGACATAAGTAAACAACCTAGAGCATGTCCATAAGCTTTTTTCAGATTATTTTCTTAAGTTCTCCGAGATAACTTATGAAATAAGTTTAAAGTTATACAATAACATTTTGACTTTATGTTATCGTTTACTATAGAAATATCTTATATGAAAGCACTTATAATAAGCCCTTACAATATGTACATGCTTAATTAAGTTGTTTACCTTTCATTTCTTCTTATCTTAAATAGTTACTCATTTTGTTCTATTATTTGATTACACGCAGTCATCGTTTTCTCCTAATACACATTCATCATCACAAGCTTTTGGCGAACGATCTTATCAAACCACCTCAAATCCTACTCAAAACACCAAACCTGATATTGGCTCCAAGCCTAGTACGACAGAACTCAAGTCTAGTGGAAGAATGGAACTTCCAGAGGTAATATAAGTATCGATTTTTCACAACATTTTTGTTTTGAATAGACCAGAACCTTAATGCCTAAGAAAAATCTCTGCAGGACCTTTTTGCTACAAGCTACTTATCTGGTCCTGCACCACATGCAGGTTGGAAGAATGTTCAACATCATGTCATGGAATATGGAAATAGTATGCCGTATTATTCTAATGCAGCGGTACCCTCTATGCGTATCCTTATCAAGTTTATTTTTAGTTTTTCTTCGTTTTGATATCAGTGTTGGTAAAACCATATGATGTTTCTTTTACAGCCTCACTTAGCACTTCCCGTTGCACCAAAACCCATGAACCCTTTTGAAGTAACTGAAGGGAGAAGTATAGTGCCCGCATCATCGGTATGTACAACAGTAAACTAATGTGTTACTCCCTCTGATCCTTATTATAAGAGAAAATTTACTTTTTAAATACATTGAATAATCAATGTATTTGGTCTTAAAATAAAGCCATGATAACTTTAACCTTCTAAACTTGGTTGTATTTTTCAATTTATAGTCTTCGACTCTGGCATCAACACATGGTGTGCTACCAAATGTATCACATAGAACAGGACTAATGCATGCTTCAAGTCTTGGTTCTTTAGACACAATGATGCCTTATTCCACAAGTTATGCATCCCCTGGTATTTTCATTGTTATCTTCTATTACCTTTGAAGAATTTTTGTTTATTTCTTCTACAAGTTTATTATTATTCATGATTCAATCATCTCAGGTGTGTGCTTTGATCAAGTTAATAATGAAGAGCAACTTATTAGGTAAGAAATGATACACCCTCATGTGTGTGGCCCATTCTATCTCTCTAGGACCAGTTATACTATCAAATAATCTGCCTATGTTTTGTTGAAGATGTTAATCCTACTCTAATTATAATTTCGTTGAAATACTTTGTAGATCACAAAGATTTGATACCTTCAATGGCGGCTTAACTCGTTATGCATCTCTAGATAACATTCAACAATCGTACGGGGGATATGGAACACATGGAACTCCGAATTCTTTTTCCTATACAGGAGGAAATCCATTTGGATAGCTTAAACAATTGACGGTTTCTCAATTCGCCCCTTCAAAACACATGAGTTTATCAGAAACACGCTTCATATAATGTATTTTTACATATTTAAACATATAAGACGGATTGAGGAAGTGTCTAAACAATTTGGCATACTACTACAATCTTCTTTCTCGCGTCAACAAAGGAAAATTTGATAATCAATATGATCCATTCAAGCTCAAGTTGAGTTAGTTCCCTGTCTCATGTAAATTTGAAAGCACATTGACATATATTTTCTTGTACATATATATATACAAAATGTTGTAATGAAGTTATTTAACCATAAAAATGGCGTGCAACAAAAATTGAGATGGAATAATCCATTATTTTAGATTTGGTATTTTAGTTTTTCTAAGAAATATCAAAATCTATGCTAAAATTTAGGTTATTCAATCTCAATCCAGAAACCATCGATGTGCTAACTTTGTGAATGCAATCAGTGAGTGCAGATAATCCAAATTCAACTATAGTGACCATAATTTTTATTGTTCGCTTTAAACTTTGTATTAAATGCTTCATTGAATTAAGAAATGTAAGTGTTGTTTATAAACTACTTTTAGTCCGATTCTCAAATGCATTGCGAGAATTTTTAATATACTCGGAACAAAAACATTGTGAATAGTAGTCCAAAGTGAAAGTGGAGTAAAGGAATGTCAACTAGGTAATAATAATGCATCAATGGAACATATAGTATTAGACTTTAGACTCAAAAGTGTTAGAAATATTTTAACCATTTTCAACTTCTTACCCTTTGGGTAACAAATAGAGGGAAAGTTTTTGATTTAAAAACCTCTAATGCTTGGGAATGAATCTAGCATGAAGAATGATTAGAGGAAAAAACCATGTGAAATTTTTTAGGATTCTTACTTTTTATCCTATGAAAGTGGATGAATAGAACTCTAGAGTAATCTAACTTAGTGGAAGATAATGTATCACTATAGTAATTTTAAAACACTATTAATAATGATGAATCTTTTTGGTTTTGATACGAATTTCAAAAGTTGAAATGGCATAACATAATGCTCCATTTATGTAGTAAGTTGCAAACCTTATTCGAGCATTCTATCAGTCTTCAAATTTTATTCCAAGTAGTGACCAAATTAGCTCAAAAGGGAAAATTATTCCTTTTGTTATTTTTATTTTCATTTCTAATGAAGTATTGTGTCATGCAAAAAAATGAACATAGAGATTCTCTGTAAATAAAGCAAGTAAGGAGCTTCTTTTATACCATTACTTAGTTGATCATTACATACACAACAATGCATGCAATTGCATTGCATTGATATTCTTAAAAAGCGTAATTCGCAATTTTATTCGCAATGCAGTCGCAAGCCACTTAAAACTACACTAGATAACGAACGAACAATATTAAGCTAGCTATAGTTACTAGGTATTTTGACGCGAATTTGAATTGTGTGCAGTCATAAATCCTACACATTCACGCAATCAACACATTGATAATCGTTGAATCAAGATCAGACGGTTTAGATTTTAATTTCGATATTTTACTATTAAAAAATTATCAAAATCTCTTTGCTTTCTTTACCGTATGATCTTGATCCAACGAATTTTACGGAAATATGTGAAATTGTGCCCCACTGTGCCTATATTATGGTTTATCTTTTGTCCAATTCCTTAGCTTAAGAAGCAAATAGACAACCATTCCAACCAAAAATCCAAGAGCAGCACTTGATCCAACCAATGAAACAGCAGTGCAAATAAGTGCCACAAATGAATCTTCTTTGCTATTCATATCTCTAGCACACATAGCAAGTTCAATGCCAGCAAACAAAAGCAACACACCTAATATCCCAACAGGAAACATGTTCAATATATGCGCCAAAGATGTTCCTAAAACCAATCCCAATACCAATTTCGCAACACCAAGAAGTGCCACACACCCTCCACTCCTTCCACCAAATTTATACTGTCCTGCTAATCCACCAGCACCATGGCAAGATGGCATTGCACCAAACCAACAACCAACCAAATTCATCAACCCAACTGTCACTGAAAGTGAAGTGACTGAAAAGTCCTTTTCAGGAAACAAATCCTTTGACAATTTACAAACAGCTATCACAGAGTTCAAGATTGTCAAAGGTAGTTGTGGAATTGTACCTTTCACAAAACCTTTCTTCCATGCATGTTTAGTGAACTTCACCACTTCTATTGAAGAGGGTCCAAATTCAATTTCATGAACCACATTTGGCTTTTTTATGAATGCCAAAATAACACCTAAAACAAAGATTATAAAAGCAGAAGGAAGTGAAAAAACAATTTTCCTCACTCTACTAGTCCTCTTTTTTACACCATTACAACACCTATGATGATTTTCACTCTCACCATCACCAGCACCATTCACAATGACAATAAAACAAACACAAACAATGGCTAAAACCAACCCATCTAACCCAAACCAAGGCCTTGGACCCAAAGCTTTAGACTTTGGAAGATCTTGCATTTTTCTCACATATTTAACAGAAGTTAAAGCAAATGATAAACCTTGTGCTAGTTGAATTCCCCTCACAACAGATAAAGGAATAAACTTGTACACCAGCTGCATCAACCCCGTGGCACCCAATAAAAACACCGCGACACTAGTCAAGATTCCAGCCGCCATGATCTCCGCTACACCAAAGGTGGTATCCGATAAAGCCTCCGCGGCAATAGACTTCATGGGCTGGACAGGCATAGGGACCCCATAAATGGTACCAGTGAGAATGTTGTATACACCTATCAAATTAAAACCATGCATAAAAGTGTCAGTATCGTGTCTAATATCTATATATCGTATCAGCAGTATACGTGTCATATATGATATAGTAACAAAATAATTGTTACTTAAGGAGATAAATGATTTAGAAAAACTAGAATATGTACCTGTGAAGATTAATGTGGTGCCAAGGTTGAGGTTCTTTGATAAAGTCAAGGAAAGAACTATAGGTATATAGGTGCCAAGGTCACCCATAGCACCATTTAGTTCACCCCATTTTGAGTGAAAAACCAGGTTGGTTTTCACTTTCTTGATAATCATGTTTGCTGAGAAATGTTTGGTTGGATTGGTTATGGTGATTTCAGAGTTTGATATAGGAATTGAAGGAGGGTTTTGGTTTGCCATGGAAATTTTGTTTATGGTTGGTTTAGGACTCACAATGTGAAGTGTGTGTGATACAACATTTTATAGCTATAGCAACGGTATGAGTTGGACACAAAAAAGCAAAATTTCTTTTTATTCTCCACTTTCCCATTCTTTTATTCCTTATATGATTCTATTACTATTTCCTTATATGATCCTACTAAATTTATAATTGAAATGTATTTAATACTTTACATTATATTATTAATTATAAAAATTAATATATAATATATAAAATTATTTTTTTATAAAATTATAATTAGAATATATCTTTTTATAAATTAAATATTTATAAAGAGTGTCACGATAGAGATAAATATCGATAAATTATTAATTCTTAATCTATTAAATTATTTTTTATCTCTTTTAATAAAAATATCAACACAATTGATAAAGAACCAAATTTTTTATATCTAAAAATATTCTTTGAGTGCTTTAAAAATAAGATAGGAAATAACAGTTAATAACTCACTTTGATCAATTGTATTGGAAAAAATAAATCATTTCTAATTTATTTGTCATTTTCAAATTTCAATGTATAACTAATTATATATTTATTAAAATTAACTTCAATTATTTACTATAGAGACAAATATATAAAATAAAATATAAATAATTATGGATATTATATAAAAAATGAAATAATTTTTATTGAAAACACAATTTATTAGTTGTCTTAATATACATTAAAAAAAATCTAAAACTAATATATAAAAAGATAAATGGAGAATATATATTTATATAGTTTATTGATCACGTAGAAGTAGAATAATAGTTTAAGAATAAAATTGACGATTCATTTATTTTTCCATTTATTTTTGGCACACAAAGCAAAGTAAAACATAAATAAAAATGAAAAAAATTTAGTTTAATGAAGAGAATCGTTTTTGTTTGACTTTCAAAACCTATTTATTTTCTTAATTTAAAATGAACTAGAGGATATAAATTCTTAGAATTGTAAGTCAGAATCAGAATGCTACCTACACTATTCTTAGTCTACATTTCTTTATATATTTTTGCGGCATTTAAAATTGATTTAGTTATATTTAATTGTTTTTGAGTAAAATTTATTTATTTTTAAATTAATTTTAATTTCAAATTATCATTTATAGTTTTTGAGTATAAATGTAATTTTTATACTAAAATTTATCATGAAATCACTTTTATGTAAATATATTTGAATATAAATTATTTTATCTTTAATTCACTTTTAGTTAAACTCAATTTAATAGAGTTAAATTATCCAAAAACACTTGGATAATATGATAAGAGATCTTTTTCAGTTTAATTAGAGATTTTAGATTCGATCCCAATCCTGAACACATAACAGTATTAAATTTTTTTAAGAGAGAATTTTATCATTCATTGTTGTCATATTCAATTTGAGAGATTAATTTTTATAGTTGTACTAACAGGATTAAAAAAATATATAGATTTAGTCACCAAAATTTATTTTATTACCATATAAATTAACACTTGCAATGACTCTGTTTTGAAATGGATCAAGGAAATTTGTGTGAGATTCGATGCGTCATACTCTCACTAGTAAGATATAGTAAGATATTATTATATGTTGCAAGTTAGGATCGTTCAATTTTATAAGTACATCCCGAAATCAAAGATGAACAAAAATCATAGGAATTTCTTAACACACTTTAAGTTTTTTTAGTGAATATTCAAATGCCTCTAGTTATCGAAAATGTATTTCCGGAAGTACCCTAAACTAGATCTTTGATGGATAAGACCCCGTAAAAGAGCAGAGAATTAACCAAAAATGCATTTGCGAGAGAGACCCATAGTTGTATTTTTCAGAAATACCTCAATTATACAATAGTTTAGACTAAGAATCCACAGATGTCATGCAGAAATAAACCGAAAATACACTTACGGGAGAGGTCTGTAAGTGCATTTCTAGTTCATTTTAACACAAATTTGTGCACAGTCTCTTTCCCTTCCTCATTTCAGTAACTCACTTAAACTCAAACACAAACACAAAACACAAAACACTCTCAAACCCCCATTGTGTGAAAATCATCCCATTGTGCAAAAATCTCATTAGAAATCAACAAGCAACAAACAAACATCATTGTTCAAGCATCATCAACCAACAAAAATCATAAATTTGAAGTTATTTTTGAGCTTTTTGAGTTAATGTAATTTAACCTAGATATTGTTTTTTAGGTTAGATACTCCAATTATTTTTAGTGTTTGCATGCTTAGAAGTAGGAATAAATATTTTAGTATGGTTGTTTTTACGATCAATGACCATTTTTTTTAGGTCATAGTGGCTAAGTGCTAATGCGGTAAAGCGGCAAGCAAAATATAAAGTATTATTTTACCAAATGATATAGGTTATATCATATCGTGTCAACAGAGATAAGAGCTATTGAATTACCGTTCGATAATTTATCACTAATGAGTTTGGGGTTTGAATGGGTTGAAAGGAAAGGTAAAAGGTATCAACAAAAAATAAATATATAAAAAGGAAAGACAAACTTATCTGGCTCGAATGTACTCTATTCATCAAAAACTTAAACATATCGACCAGTTATACTCAACCTACAATATTCATCAATGTCATCACGTATCAAACACAAAACTCATGGTATCACCTCAGCAGCGATCTCTCAACCAACCTCAATAACACAGAAGTCAATCGTGTTAATAACATCAACGATTTCTCAGAGCGACACAACCAACACAGAGGCATTAATCACAGACGCTCAAGTGAATGTCAGCTCTAAATCTATTTCTAGAATCCAGAAACTAACAGATAATCATCCTAGATAAGAATCCAAGTAGTATATGTCTATAGAAACTCAAATCCCTAGCACATAGCAAAAATCAAGAATAACAATCGACAAAGATTTGTAAAGCAAGTTTTATACAACGCCATGGGCGACAAACATACATGAGTTCAAAGTATAAATACATACAAAACCCAATAAAAGAGAAATACATAGAGAGGAGAAGAGATAAACCACAAATCTTCCAATTTGCCAGTGCTGGTCGATGAGAAATCCACCTCCAATCATCCATAAGTAAAGCCCTAGTGTTTTTTTCTAAGATAATCTATCAAAAATATGGTTGATGGAATTTGGTAAAAAAACCCAAAAACCATAACCTAAAAATGAACTAAAATGAAGTTATAAAACAAATCTCAGCATACCGCGCTAATCGACCTCAACGCGCTAAGCGGACTGCCCGATATTTACACATTAAACCGCCTAAACCGCGCTATCCGCGCTAAGTGGGCTCAAAAACTATGATTCTTCCTGTTTTACCCCAAAATTTTCCCTCTCATTTTACTCAATACATGCCCATTGGAATCCTCAATTTGCTCAAGTTTGCCCAAGAGTTGACCAGACAAACTCTCTCGTAAGGCAGTGTACCTCAAATTAGGGTTTCTATTCTCATCAAGATAGGTGGACACCAAATGTATCATATTCTCTCCATGGTCTTAATATGTTCTCAAGGCCCTACATGTCAATTTACATGCCTTGCACAAGAAGTTTTCTCAGTCAACTGCTCAGATGCTTGAGAATCGACTATATTAGGTCAAAAGTCAATTGTGACCCAAATACAGTCAAACTTCAAGATTTTTGGTCAACATTAACATTTTGAAGTGACTTTCATCATTTTATCAAGGGTTGACCACGATTCTCCAAGGAATGCTCCAAAATCATCAAAACCCAAAAGCTGCTAAATTAGGGTTTCTCAATAAAAGTCAACCAAACTTTGACCAAGCATAAATTCCACATGCTTCATCAGAAATTTTCCATCCAAAGCTCATTTTGAAGAGGATGAAACTCCCTACAACTCATCTTCATTCCAAAAGTTCAAAATATGCACTCATAAAAATATATGAATTTCTACATTATGGATCCTTTTGAAAAGTCAACAAAAACACCTTTTGGGTCAAAGCTTCTTACATGAACATGGAAGACTCAATTGAGATGATACAAAAAGTGTTGCTTAGGGGACATCACAAGATTTCTAAAAAGTCCAAGAACACCTCTCTAGGGTTAAAATTGGAGGAGATATGCTTTGTCAAAGTTGACCTTTTTTGCAAAATTGCCAAAAGTCAAATATGCTCAAAAATGCATTTTTTGCTAAATGGGCCTAACGTTTTATGCTTGCACCTCACTTATAATGTGGTCCACGACTCAAATATTTATCCACACATTATTTGCTTCATTTTTCAATTTATTTTGATTTTTTATTAATTAAAAATTGAATTAAATCAAATAATTGATGAATAATAGCAAAGATATGATTTGGTTTGGTTTTTGGAAAGGTTGGCAATCAAAATATGCTGAGTTATCAAGGCCGAAACAAATCAAGCATAATTGGTACAAGAAAGGGATGATTTGGCTCAAAATAGCAAGTTTACATGTAGCTTGAAAATCAAATCAAATCTCTCATAATTGCAAAGATTCAATCCAAGTTTGTAACTCTAATTCATTCCTAGATATATATATTGGACGTATACAAAGCAAAAAACAAGGTCTTTCAGGCGTGAACAAGAAGAACAAAACTTGAAATTTTCAAAGAAAAGTGCAAATCCAATCTTGCTCCATAGGTCGTTTCAAGCGTTTCTAACGATCAAATCATCTCCCTAGGCACTCATTGAACCTGTAGCAAGCCTTTGCAAGGCTTGAAACATCCAGAAACGCACGCAATCACTCTCACGGTTTGCTTGTGTTTTCCAAATCGATTATTGAATTTCTTGCATCATTAGCATGTTTAAGTTATATATTTGTGATCCTCATCGTGTTTGCAAGCTAATTGAATAACTTAATTGCATTTTTGAAGCCTATATCTTCACTTGCCATTGTTAGGGTTTCCATATGCGTTTTGGGGTTTTTGGCTACAGGAAAAATTAGACCACAAGCTGGATACTGGGATGACCGGGACATCATGACCGGTCGAACCATGGTCTTCAATTCCATTTATATTGTGTTTTGTGAATTTTTGAATTG